GGAATCTTGCCCCCCAGCAGGAAGCCATATGTAGAAATATACTTAATCTTACAAGAAGTTCTGTTAAATATGAATACAGGCTACGTAGTCAAGGCATGATCAGAATGTGATAAAGCATGAGACTGGCTTTTCCCAACTGTCAGCAACTTCTCGGCCCCTTTCCCTGTCACACCCGAGGAAGAGTTAGGGTTTTTCAATTTTGTGTGCTTTTAAATAACGTATTTTCTGCAAAGCAACCATGTTTACCTAAGAACCTGTGAAATGTTTATCCCAGGAACACTTAGATCACGAAAATATATAGCATTAGAAAATGGGCACATTGCAACCAAGCTGAAAATGATTACGTTAGTTGGGTGCAAAGAGGCAGTTCTCAAATACTACTTTTGAAATGCTCATGAAATGCAAAAAACATGTAACGCATATAGTTTCTATCAGGGAATAATGTGATTTACAGTTGTACAAAATTAAGTGCACTTTCTTCTGTTTAAAGAAACATAGTATTTCTCAAAAACAGTAAAAATTAACATTTTAAGTTAATTAAAATGTTAGTACGCCAAGAATAACTCAGAAAAATATGTAGAAACTAAATGTAAAAAAAAAAGCAGTCTTCTCTCTTTGAAAAGTGTCAGCTGTTATAATGAATGAGACAAGAAACTGATGCCATCTTCTTCTAAAATTGCTTTTAAAAGCATTTTAAAATAGTATTTTCCAATAGAAAGCAGAAAACTCACAACCTTTCATTTGAGTGTTTTAGCCACAGCACGTTATTTTGTCTGAAGCTTGCTAGCCTTGTGAAAGTGTTCCCCATAATACATGTATGGAACCCAAATTCTGTCCAGGTAGACTTTGTCACACCTGGTTTCCATCTGTCTCCTGCATTTTTGTTTCCAAGGCTGACAGTCTCACTGCTGGTAACTTGAACGTGACAACGTGGCTTACCTAGGTCTGAAAATGCCTTTGGAAGAGAATATTTACTGTTGCCCACAAGTGCAAATTGTCCTTAGCGGTCTGATAAGGATCATCACCTCATGCTGGGAAACAGTGGAGTAGTGTATTTGCTGGCTTAATACTGACCTGGAACATTTAGAATCACCTGCAAAGTTATTCCTACACATGGATGTTATTCCCCCCATTTCCTCCTCCCCCATCAATACCATCCGACTGGGAGGAAGATGGACGAGAGTTCCTTGAACGAGGCTGGCCATTCAGTCCAAGTGGTGTTCCCAACCTATGGCTCATTTGGGATGCTGTATCATCCGATTCCCATCGCTCCAACTCCTCTCGCACCAGTCGCTCCATTTGTTCCCTGTGGATTTCATTGTCACGACCCAGTCTTTCATCCTAAACAGATGAAAAGACACCAGCTGTAAGCGCAGCTTCCAAATTGCAGTCTAAGCAAAACCCTATACAAACATGGGAGATTCTTACACCGCTCAAGTATTTCCACAGGCTAGTGGAGAAATGCAGCTAGTGCAGTAAATTGTTTTCTTTCCAGTGATGCAATGCCCAGGTTGCCACCTTCACTTATGAAAGCACAATTTGTATTGCAGTTTCCAATGTTCAAATCCACCTCCAGAAATGTAAAATATACTGAGGAGAACACACCCGCAAGGAAGCCCCATCTCAAGAATCAAGCAGAATTATTGGCTGGAACAACACTAACAGCCAGGAACACCGTATCTGTGACAGGGCAGCTAAAAGTCTGACATACATAACCTGCCAAGACAATCCATCTTGCCCACCCCTTAACAGCCCTGTTCTGGCTGTTCCTGCCCCATCAGGAAGCTGACAAGTTTTAACGTCCACAGAAATAACACGTTTGTCCCACTGGTCACAGAAGTGAACTGCTTCCACGTGGCACACACAAACCCAGAAGCAACATGGGAGAAGAGCAGGCTGCATGGGCCTGCTGGGCTGGATCCCCCAGACTCTAACAAACCAGTTCGTAAAAAGCTTTGTATTAAACCCAACAGATGCCAAGGGATGAACGAGCTGCTTCAGCAACGACAGAACACTGCTGCTGTCCAGTTCAGGGGTTTAAATGGTGCCCTGTTGCCTCAGTGTGACATAGGCCTCCAATAAGATAGGTTGTCATATCCAAAACTTGCATCATGTCCCCAACATTTCATGTTTTAAATTTCAGGTTTTCCTAACACAAAACTGAAATCACTCGGCCACCACTCCCTCAACCCTCCCAAGCCAAGCAGCAGGACGAAGTGCTAACAGTGAGCAAGCCATGCAGGTTGTGACCAGACAGGAGACAGTAGGTTTCTTACCTCTGTCACCCCATCTAACAGTCTTCCCAACACATCTCTCCTTTTTAGTTTGGCTCTCTCCATCGCTTCGAGCTTCACAATAACTGCATCGATCTTGGAAACAATACTGCCGATAGAATGCTCCATGCGATCAACCCGCCTCATGAGCCTGAGGGCAACAAGCGCGAGCTTCAGTGACACTGACATTTCCGAGTCAGTATTGTTCCAGCAAGTCAACACACAGAGCAGATAAGGATGAGACACCTTCATTCCGCTGGTATTGCTACAATTAATTAATATGGAGACCTATCCTTTCAAGCAAAATACACGCTCACAAGTAACTTAATCTTATTAAAAACAGCTGAAGTTCTTACTGAGCCTAAAACAACCTCAAGGTTTTATTACTAAAAAACCCGGAAAAGTCTTCTGGCATTACTGTAGCATGACCATTTTCTCTTTCTTTTCAATGACCAGGTTTTAAGGACAGGGCTTTTTTTTTTTGTTGGGTTTTTGTTTGTTCTGATTTGGTTTTCTAACTGATTCCCATGAGGCTCTAAGTACTTCCAGTTCAGATATTACTTGAAAGCTACTAAAAGGAGTGCCTTAAGCACCTTAAAAACGTAACATTTACTTTTATGAACAATTTGATTAATATTCAGAGTTACAGGAGAGACTACTACATAACTGAAAGAAGAAAACCCACAAGGGAAAAAAAACAAACCAAACCAGACACCATGAAAATTCATCCCCCTCAGAAGGATAAACTTACACTTGGAACTCTTCATAGGAAACCCCACTAGAGCTGCTGCCCCTCCTCCTGGAGCTGTGTCCGCTGTCTTCATCCTCATCCTCCTCAGAGTCGTCCAAGCTCCGGGGGAAGCTGCGGCTGCTCAGAGGACGTGGCAGAGAACTCCTATCCAGGTCCAAATCCTCCTTTGTGAAAACACAAGCCACAGACAGAGAAGACGTAAATACTTTCACCTGTACATGGGGGATGGGGCTGTCAAGGTCAAAGACCTCCTGCCCTCCATCAGCTCCCCTTTGCCTTTTTACAGTTCTGCTCAGACAGCCAAGGATGAGAGCAAATGTGAGGGGAAACAAGAGGATTCTTCTTGGGCAGCAAACCAGCACAGGGAGAAGTCTGGCAGACGGCACTGGTGGCATACCACTCCTAACGCTGAGCTCACCCTCTCCTTCTCCAGGTCATCTCTCATCTGCTGATGTTCATGCTCTGTCAATTCCTGGTCCCCATCCTGATCATACTTGGTAAATATTGCTTCAATCTCCGCATCTGTGTGCCCCTTCCTGGAAAGGCAATAAAAACAGTTCCCTTACTTTCCATTTCTGAGATGCTGAATGTGGGAAAATAACGGAAGAATGGCGAGGACTGTAAACATGCTCAAGTGACTTGCAGCTAGGGTGTCAGAAAACATGTATCACACTAATTGTTGTTTGGCCTTGCGTATTGGACAAGCAGAACATCTGTGCTGAGATAACACAGGCCTGTAATAGACTCAGAGGCACTCTGTCGAACATGCTTGAGGCTCCTGCCCTGCTGTGGGACAGATCAAAACAGAGTGATAAACTACACGAATCCCTGATATACAGGTGAGAACAGCAGGTCTGACAATCCTCTAGCATGGACCAAGCTCCATGATGCCTGCATCCCCGCTGGTGTGCCTCTGCCTGGGTGCTGCTTTGGGGATCCCCTGGTTGGCAAAAATAAATTTACTCTTCGCATTTCACCCGTGGTTTTGTGATTGTTCCTGTGTCCTGCCTGTGTCTGCTCACACACTGAATGAACTTCCAGTATTAGAAAAAACACGTCAAACAGACTTTCATCCCCAAGCCAAAGATATGACTGATCCCAGTGCTACCTAAAAATTCACAACACTGATAACAAAGAGTTCAGCCCTCACCTTTCATTAATTAACAGCACAAATCTCCCCTAGACCACACCCTGCTCCTTCACAACCATCCTTTTTACACCTCCTTGGTTTGTTCCCTTTCCTTGGACTCCTGCCTGTTCACAAACTCCTGCAGTGGTTCTGATAGAAACATTACCATTTCCTCAAAAGCCTTAGATCTCTGCTTCCTCAGACCCTTTCTCCCCCACAACAGAGCAGCTCAAGGAGGTTGGGCCCCAGAGCGCCAAATCCTTCCTGTGGTGAGGGATGCCACCCCACTGCAGCAACACCAGCCATCATGCAGACTCCAGGGGCCAGAGCTCAGCAGACCTCCTTAGCTAAGACTTCTCTTCCACCTTAGACTGACCATTCTTTTCCTGTTCCTCTTCTCTCTTCTTCCACAGTTCTATGCCACAGTTCAAGTTTTCCTTTGTGCAATGCCTACAGACTCATGTGCAAAGATTGTTCACCTGTATACATTTGTTTACATAAACCTCCCACCAGATACAGGAAAAGCACATGCTTTGTCACCCACTAACCAAAAGAAAAGTACTCTGCTGTGTTGTCTTTATTCACATCAAAGACTTAACATCACATGTGTCTGGGGACACTATTAAAGATAAGAAGTAACAGCTTCCTTACCCTTTTAGATCTTGCCGGAGTTCATCAAAATTTAGTTTTCCCCCACCTTGCCTCAGACTTTCTGAAATGTCATCAACAGTCGTTTTCTTCAATTTAAGTTTGATCATGGCTTTGTTGTAGCCCTAAAAGAAAAAGTGACATCTCATGTTTTACTTGCCATAAAATGTTAACACTTGATTTCTAATAACTTTTTTGATTACAAAAATCATCTACTGTACACTACCATTCAGTGTGTTCTACAAGTCCTGCAAGAATTTGTCTTTTCCTCCAGTTTATCCACCTTTTATTTCAGCGTTTAAATGGGCAACATACAAAGTTAGAGGTAAGACTTTCATGATTCAACTTGCACTGTGGGTCAGTAGGAATGCAGTATTTTGTCCCAGTAAGACGCCTTTGGAAGTTACTGACAGTTAAGTGACAGTTTTAAATAATGCTGACAAAACAGATACAACTTTGCACTTTGCTTATCTCTCATTCTTCAGTTGTAGGCATGACTTAAAAAAAGCCCTCACCTCAACAAAGAAGCACTTTTCATTTTTTTCTGCTCTGTTTTAATAACCAGTTTCCAAGTTTTAAAACTTTGAGTACCAGTCATGCCGAGTATGTGTTTAGACATTTCTGACCATGGTACAGCACCGCATCCATGCCAGAGTGCATGCATGTGCACATCTTCTTCCTAAACTGGGATTCAGGTCAAGCCTCTTAACTTTGTATTCAACAACCTTACTGGCAGCTGCCCCTGGGAGCTCCCAACACATTATCCAAGACTTGCCTGAAATGAGGAAATTCTGAATAGCAGTTTAGCTTCATCAGTTCAATATTTCTGTATGTACCTAGGCAGACAAACCCTGTGTCATATTCAGTGGGCTGATCATTCAACACAAAGTCTCAGATGACAAGTTGTGATGGAAAGTTTTCATTAATTTAATTTACACTCAGCTCAGATTTATTTATTTTAACTAAGAGATGTGTACTTCCATCAGCTGCTGCCAGCTTTACTTTGTACGGTTTATATAGCATTTTATGGAGTAAGTTCAGATGTGGGGAATGAGATATCAAACAAACGAAATGTTACTTTTACCTTTCTGATAAGGTCAGACAGTTCCATTTCTGCCTTCTGTTGTGCCATATCAGATTTGACTTCAGAGTATGTATCATTGATAATCGCCAAAAACATGTTCTGTTCATGAGAAAAATAAGAAAGCCCACTTAAAAAATCGCAGTAAGTCTGAGCCCTACAACTCCTACAACCTTCATGTGCAGACCTATATATGAATTTTTAAAAAAGGGCCAGGAGAAAATGTTGGGCTGTTTAAAAAGCACTATCATCAAGAGCTTGAGATACTGAAATATGATGCACTGCAGTATAACAACTTTTAATCAAGACTACTGGTTATTAACATAACTGGAGAATTACTTTCCAGAGAGGGTTCATGCCTACACAGCAGTGGCAATAAACCATGCCTGTTTAACATTATATGTATAAATTTGGCCTTCTACCTGCAAGGCCAAAAACTTACATATATAACAACAGTGAATTAACCTAGGCAACGCAGCTGGCAACAAAAATGCCTGAGGAATCAAGTTAACTATTCATCCTGTAATAACCAGCACAGCCAAAAGGTTCTTATCTAGTTACAGCTCTGCTTGCATTTCAGACTAAAAATAAAACCAAAAAAGCTTAAAATCAGACATTTGGCATGATCCGAGGGCTGGAGCACCTCTCCTATGAGGACAGGCTGAGGGAGTTGGGCTTGTTCAGCCTGGAGAAGAGAAGGCTGCAGGGAGACCTGATTGCAGCCCTTCAGTACCTAAAGGGGGCCTATAGGAAAGATGGGGAAAAATCTTTTTAGTAGGGCCAGCTGTGACAAGACAAGGGGTAATGGTTTTAAACTAAACCAGGGTAGGTTTAAACTAGATATAAGGAAGAAATTCTTTACAATGAGGGTGGTGAAACACTGGAACAGGTTGCCCAGAGAGGTGGTGGAGGCCCCATCCCTGGAAACATTCAAGGCCGGGTTGGATGGGGCTCTGAGCAACCTGATCTAGTTAGCGGTGTCCCTGCTCGCTGCAAGGGGGTTGGACTAAATGACCTCTGGGGGTCCCTTCCAACCCTAAACATTCTATGATTCTATGCCACCAACTCTGAAAAGAGTTTGGTCGCTTGTTTGGACAAAAGAGAAAAAATTGGTCTCACTAACCCTGAGCCATGCGGTCATTACTGAAAGGGTCCTGGCTGAACATGGAGTAAACATGACTGAATTGCAAGCTGGACATTCAAGTCCAAAAAGAATTACTCAATTTACTGGCATGTTCAATGTGCCACTCGCATGCAGAAAGGCAGTGTTAAACCTCTATTTCCTCATGGACTTAAAAAAATGCTTTAGGAGAATAATCTTCCAGTGCTGTATCTTTATGCGTTCTTGTCCAACAACAGAAAAGTAAGAGGCAACTTTAGTGTCCATTTTGCTTTCAGCTGCCCAACATTAAGAGTCGGTGCTTTCTGCTCATCTTCCCGAACTTAGTTTCCAGGTCTCAGAGTGGTCTCAAGGAGCTTACAGCAACATTTCACTCCAGCCAAATGACACGATGTGTGCAGATGTTAATAAACACACAAATTATAGAGAGTATTTTGGATAACCTTCTGTGTCTTCACACCCCAGTGCTTTTCTGCTACCACTTAGAAATAAAAAAAATTTCTTTCCCTTGCTGGACACTAGCCTCTGCTCCTTTGGATTTTGTGAGGTGCTTCAAAGCAAGTATGAAACCCGCTTCACATGCTTCTTCGGCCAGAGTGACCCATATGTTATTTTCCAATTGAGTACTGGTCAATCCCACTGAACAAGATTCTCTACTTCCTTACTAGTGAATAGCCAAGATGAAGTCTTCTCACACAAATATCTGAATACCATTTCTCATCTCAAAGAATAATAAAAAGCCTCATTAAGTACAAGGGTCATTAAATAACTTCAAAAGTTATGATGATACAGGACTGCCGTACCATTTTAAGGTTAGTAAAAACCTGCTTTAATGCTTGCCACCTTATCAAATCACCAAAAGACATACAGTTTGGGGAATAATCTGAGGATTTCTTGCTCACATAACATGTTCTGTCTGGTGGTATCATCAGAAACAAAATTACTATATATTAATGTTAGTACCAAACTAACTGAGAACTATATCCAGGTAGAAGATACTGGGGCTCTTCACTTACATGGACATTAAAAAAAAAAAATGAAAATTTTCTTGGTCTCCTAGGTTTCTTAAGAAAGAAGTCTCCTCCTTCCACTTTTTGTTATATAAATTATTAGTAAGACTGTAATATGGATTCAATACTAGTATTAACAGAGAGTAGACAAAAGATGAGTACTCATTCACAGTAAATTCACTGTTTGAATTTGTCAGGTGATCATGTCTACATACTGGCTCTCAGATAAGTTGAGCTTCTTATAATACTGTTTGTCAAAAAGCATACAGGTAATCTGCACTGGGAAGGTGAGAAAGACAGGGCCCAGCTCTGCCCTGGAGATGGAAAAGATGATGGAAAAGAGGCCTTTGCAGGTCGATCTGCATACCTGAAAGCTGCTGTACTGCTGATTAATTAGGCTCTTCTAGCAAACAGCCTGTGTGTTGCATGTATGAGCTAAGCTGTTGTAAGCATAGCCAGCCATGCATTAGAGCCTTGGTTAATAACCAAGAGCCTTTATGGAACATTACAGCTACTTTTCACCAAAAGATATGGGCTTGCTGTGCATGCCAACCAGGCACTACTCAGATTTTAGAAATAAAAAATCCTTTATAATAATAATAACAAATATAAATTAAAAAAACAGTGTGGATCGCTATATGGGAATGACAACAAACATACAACGCAAATCCGTTTTAAACGAAGAAGAAAAATGAAAGAGTTAGTGACCAGCCATGTAACAGTCAGGCCCCTACATGGACTGCACACTCACCATTGTCAAAAAGAGCCCCAAGCAGCAGTAGGAATCAAAGAACAAGAGATGCAAAAATGGCCACCTACCCACCCCGCATAAACAAAGGCGTACATACCAAAAGAATGAAGAACATAAAGAACACAAATGTAGTGAAATAAATTGGTCCCAAAATTCGATTAGCTTCTTCAACCTCTGTGAAGTTGAAGTCTCCCAAAATGATGCGGAACTGAGTAAATCTTAAAAAACAAAACATATCCAGGAGTTGAAAACACTTGTGGAGTTGTGCAGGAATCTCAATCTATTTTACCCTAACAGTCTGACTGATGGGCAGCAGAGAGGTCTGTACTACTGTAACACTTTTTTCAGGCACTGCAATAGTCAATTCCTCAAGCCCATCTCTAGCCAAAACCAAACTAGCAGTCAGATGCCACACACACACACAACAAAACTAGGATGTTTAACTCTTGGTTTCGGTCACAACTGATAATGGGGGCAACAGGAAGCAGAGCAAACCAATGACTACCATTGTGAAGCTTTAAAACCCACTCCCATCCCTCTCCTGTCCCTTCTGCCTCTCGCATACAAACAAGCCCAACCCTCTCCCTCTAAAGCTGTCTGTATAGTGACAAAGCTGGAAGAGGCTTGGCACTGTACAGCACCAAAGCTGGAAGAGGCTTGGCACTGTACAGCGCCATCAACATAATTCAAGTTCCTCCACTTCTCTACAAGGAACTTTTTGCAACACTTCCCCAATGTAAGGGGGCAGGGGGAAATCGATAACTGAACCACCTTGTAATTACCTCAGAATCAGATTACGTTGTACCAAATCAATAAAGGAAAAATTGATTAACAACCCTACGTTAAGCCCTATCTCTCTCCTGGATTCCAGCAGATACTTACAAATTTACTAGCTTGCTGTCTAAGATGGACTCCATTTGCGAGTCAATCAACTACACATACCATCAGGAACACAGCATTAATATGCATACAACATTTCAATGAGCATTACAAACATAAGTAAGCATATAATTCAACTGCTGAAGACAGAGTTATTGCTTTGTCTAGGAATGTGACCAACTGTTACAAAAACCATGTCACTTCCACTGACCAAAACCTGCCTTTTTTAGCTCACTGATCTAACTATAGTGTATTTTTAATCTCACAGCAGAGTTTCTGAACTAAAAATATTATAAAAAAATGCATTTGCTACTGAGCTACATCAACAGTGATATGTCTGCAGCTTATCTGTTTAGATGGATGTCATAGGATTTGTCTGGTCTCTGATGAGGCAACCAAATCAATTTACCAATGTACTAAGAAATTATTTGCATTTTTTATTCTTGTACTTACATGCAGTCCTGGAAAGTGCTGAAGTCATCGATTTGAGCGCCAAAGACAAGATAGGCCAACTGAGCATACGCTAAGAAAATAATAAAAAACATAATAGCAAAGCCAATGACATCTTTGACGCAGCGAGACATGGTAGTGGATAACTGACTCATTGTTCTGTTGAAGTTAACAAATTTGAAAAGCTGTTAAAAGAAAAAGCAACTGTAAAGACAAGGAAGACAATTTCTTAACACAATCTCTCTCCAGCCTTTTACACATGAGATGTCTTACTCATTTTGACTGGAGACAAAGTCAGTTAATTTACATTTAGAAATACATCACTTCCTATAAACGCTGAGGCTTGAAACGTGAAGAAAATTCTGTGAAAATGCCCAACTTCTTGTCTGGGTTTATTTTTCACTCCTCTATTTCACACTCTGGCAGAGCAGTGTTATGGAAATGCTTCCAAAAGTCATTTATTTATCTTCAGTGAAGATAAATAAGCTATGAAGTAGGAAAACGGGAGAAAAGAAGATCTCCCAACTGACTCTGCTCTGAGCAGAGACTTGCTGAGGTCCCCTCCAACCTGCATTATACTGTTATTCTGTGATTTTACCATTATTTCTCATAATGAGCCACTTCATTTTTTTAAAACATGATGCAAAAATTAGTACAACTTTGTCTTATAAAACAGTAAGAGATTAGCTAGTTTGCTTGATAAACCTAAGTATCAATTTAGAGTATCAGAGTGGAAATTCATGTATCATTGGTTTTACATTTTCCTCCGATAGACAGTTTATTAACTAAATGTTCCTCTGCAACTTTATACATACAAGAGACAGGAAAACGAGTATTGACATGAAAAGAAGTATCACTAGAAAGGAGCCAGTAAAACAGAAAAATTAAGTTTAGTTAAAGTAATATATCTAGTTTTCCAATGAATTGTACTAGCTTCACCAACCCTTCTAACGACTCAGGAGTTTTGAATAGATAAAATGGGCACAGTTAAACCAGGCTAGGAAAAAGTATACCAGTAAGAATTACTGACTTATCAATTCAGGAATAATAAAAACATTTCTTCATGTGTCTGCTGTGACAAAGCACTAGCACCGACTACATCTTCTAGAATTAAACAAGGGCTGACTAAACCTGTGGCAAATTACAACATTGCTTTTAATCTGCAAGAAATTACCCCTGTGCTCTGACTTTCTCACACGACCAATTTTAGGAGAAACATGACTAAACCTCAAATAATCACGCGACGCTCAGAATACTGTTTACATTCTAATGTTAAAATAAAGATGTGTGCCTTGGAGTTACCTTAATCCAGACAAAAAACACAGTGACTGCAGCAATGTTGTTGAATTGCATTTGCCAATATGCCAAAGGTTCAAAGTTGGGGAACAAGTTCTGATCTTCCAGCAGCTTCTTCAGGAGCATGTCAACAGTTGATGTCCTATATATACCAATTCCTATAGCTACCACAGAGAGCTGAGTACAAAAGAAACATACAAACATACGAAAGGTGATTAGGTTTTTAAAACAACTTGTTTTAGCTACATACATCAAACAGAGTTAAGATATGAGGAACTCCACGTTATTTATAGCACTACCATAATATGAGCTTTAAGTGAAAACAAATATATGGTTTTCAAGGTGTCCTGACTAAAGTTTCAAACAGGAAAGTAACAGCTAGGGATTGCACAGAGCCCAGGGGGTGGGGAGGAAATCACTGTTACAAGCTTCTCGCAGTCCTACAGGGTCAGCCCTGCTGGTCACATTAGTGCTTAGGGTCAGGCAGTTGCCAGGGCTGGAGGGAGCCAAACTGAGATCCTGTATCCTGAGATAGGATCCCAACTAGAATTTCTGGACATATCAGGAAATGCATTTCACAACAAAACCATTATAGTTCTAGACTACAGACAAATAGCCTGGGAGTAAGAAGATTTAGAAATCTTTTCCTTGTCACGACTGAAGAACAAGATGACAGTGAAGCCTAGTGGGCTCAGAAAAATGAAGCTGTCTGTCACAGAGAAGGAAATATAAGGAAAGAAAGATGACAACTCAAAAAGATAAAGGTGAAAAAGAGTGAAGAGCAGAAAGACAGCAGCAGCCAAAAAAGTACTAGAGTTTCTCTGGAGTACAGGCTGACCAGTATTGCCCAGAACAAGCAACAGCAGAGACGCTGTAGTTTTACCATACAGGTAAGGTTCTTGCTTTGACCTCTGCAAATGTGTTTTATATTAGTGTAAGTGAACACCTCACCATGGATAGAGTCATAAAGTACCTAATCCTAAATTTAAACAACGTCCCTCAGACAAGGTATAAACATAGAATTTGACCCTTTGTGTGAACTGAATTTTAACACAGACTTGAATACACTTCACTGACTGTAACAGCAAAGCACATCTTCCCCCTCCCCGCCATTAAGTATAACAAACAGCATGCAGTTGATGTAAACATCCTCCTAAATGGTCCTTCATTTACAAAGCACTGTGATGCAAGTAAGATTTCCTCTAGCTTACAGGTACTAACTTCAACACTTAAACCTTTGATTTGTCTGAGCCTGAAGGTACAAAACAAGTGTGGAACTGGAACTGTTTCAGCACTGCTGGCTTCCTATACTTTTGGTAAGCACAGCTTGATATAAGTGCAGAGAGAATTATATTACGCAGCTTTAAATTCAAAGACAAGATTTTCTGCTACACCACGACTGCTGATGGGCAGCACTGTCCACTTAACCAAAAAAACCCAGCCCTGACAGCTGCTAGCACTCTACAATTTTGAGATACTTCTTCAAGCTTGGTATTAGCTGGTGAGTATTTTAATACCACGTTAAACCTCTTTGGGGTTCTTTGCAAACATATTCAAATCCCAGTTCCATTCCTCCAAATGCAAATCACTACTTTAATGCAGATTATTTTCTTACTTGCAAGTCACTGCAATAGTCTGTATCGGATATGTAGAAGAGAAATGAGGGCAAGTTTGTTACCTCCCATAATGGCTGTGCCTTTAGACAAAAGCTGTGAAGAAGAGTACTGGACAAACACTCTCAACTTTTCACCAGGACATGAAGGTTGAAACCACCGAAGGCTGAACAAGCAAGTTTGCAAAACACACCAACATTACAGCACAGACTAAAATTGTCTTATTCAGACTGAATAGCCCAATAGTCTGTAAGTACCCGTCCTAATGATGGCCCTGTCCCTTAAACCAACAACAGGAATACAGAGGTATTAACATCTCCCACAAAATGCATTTCAGAAAGCAATTTTAGCCTTATTATAAAGATTATTTACCACAATGATAAGGATATCAAGGCAATTCCAGAGACTTCTGAAGTAGTGCAGTCTATGAATGTGAATTTCTAAGATCTCTTCCACCATGTAATAAAGAACAAAAAGACAAAATGCTATTGCACAGGCTACCAGGAAAAAATCAAACGTGGAGATGTAGTGAATCAGCCTCACTGGCTGAAACTGCCAAGACGTAACAAGGCCCCCAGTCGCTGGAAACTCCACTAACAACCTGCATTTAAAAAAAGGCAAAAAAAAAAAAAAAATCATTTATGCAGCAGTGATGAAAAGCACTACTGTAAGACACATGGTTTTATTTACATAATTATTTAAAATAATGGAAACAGGCAAAAGCCTGCATATGATTCAGAGAAGATACTACACAGAACAGAAGGTGTAAACCTGTCCGCACTCAATTTTGACTAAAACCCAAAGCATTTCAGGAACAGTGAGAAAACAGAAGCAGAAAGACCTGTTTCACACCGTCTAAACTAAGGACTGATGTTGTATATCCATGTATTTACTTCAATAAGCCAACTCACTAGAGGAGTCGCCCGCAAACTGCACCCAGGCCGTTGCGACATCAGCAAAGTCAGAACTGCCTCCATATGGTGAGTGCAGCCGCCATGTGGAGTCCCACTCCTTTGACAGGGAGGCATGCCACTTCAGTTGTCTGTCTCCTTTATACAAAACATATGCTTACCCATGTCCTCAAAACAAAGGAATCACAAGAAAACCCCAGGTCTACAACCTACGCTGTGCAGTATGAACACTGTCATGGTTCTGTGCATACCTGACAACACAAAATAGATTGATGTTTGCATTGTATACTGAGAAATCAATGAAAGCCGCTCTGGTTCCTCTGTCCAGCCACAGGTTCTTCTTAAGGCTAGCAATCTGCACAGCTGTCACTTCTCTGGTCCTTGAGAGGTCTTGGTAATAACCTGCCCCGCTGTATGTGGCAATCAAGCCCCAGTGGCTGCTCCCATTCAAATCCTTCTCATTGGTGTACGTCCAACTAGTTCAGAAGTAAGTGAAACAGAGCACATTAGTCTTTCCACTTTCAATTTACAATTAACAAAACAGACACTAACAAAGCCTGACAAAAAAAAAAAAAAGGTTCAGTTACTTAAAGCTGCCCTCATTTAAGAGGTACTTGTAGAAAGTTTTGATGCTTGCACCCTGGAGAAAGCTTACAAAGTTCCTTTGACTAACACAACAAAATTAAGATAGAAATGTGGGTCACAAATATATTAATTGAGAAGAGAGAACATATCAATCCTTTCACACAGAATTTCTGTCCTTGGGGAAAGAAAGAAAATCGGCATTTACATAGTTACATTCCACCTCCAAAACCTTTTATAGTTCACTTCACACATCATCCTCCAAGAGAGGCAGCGCTATTTCCATTCTTAGCCAGGGAAGACAACTCAGTGAAACCCACTGCAGCAAGACAGTCTGGAATTACAGAACAATTGCTCATGAGTTGCAGTGCTGCGCTCAGACCACAGCGTGTCTCCCATGCATAACAGCTACCAATGGCATAATGACAGCACCTAAGCTCAAGTGGATCAAGAGCAGAGTCTTCTCCAACTCCCGTAAGGTTTCTCCACAAGCAGAACTGGCAGCTGCTCTGGATTTACCTGGCTTCACAGGTAGATACAGCAAATGCAGAGCTGCCTCTGCAAAGTGACTTATTGGGTAATTCAGCAAAACCCAGGTCAGAAAAAAAAAAAAGAAGTGTCTTCAGAAATACTACATACGCTGTTCCATTTCGAAGTCCAAAAGGAGCAGTATCTTCATTAGCTACAGAATAGACATCATAGCAGTCTTTAATTTCATCCTTTAAATCTTCAGGTATTGAGCATGAACCATTTCTCACTTTGAGCTGCCGAATGCGAGGCACCCCAAGGAGCAGGTTCTCATAATAAATGAAGCTTTTGTTTTCTGCCATGGTTTTGTTGTTGTACCACATCTCCCAGTAAAGACCATCTAGCAAAGGGCCTTCTGTGAACTGTGGAAGACGACAGAATTTCAGTTTCCATGCTGCCAGCACTATTTTTATAGATCTTCATTCCGTGCATGTTAGAATTGCAGTTGATAATTTTTCTGACATAAGTCCTTACTGTTACCTGTCCTCCAAAGACATTCTGCAACCTTGCCCTACCCTGGCCCACTAGCATTACCTAAGTTCTAAACATATTAAAGGCCTCCTTTGTTCCATAGCTTTGACATTGTGCACAGAGATCTTCATGCATAACCCCCACTGCATTAGAAAAAAGATCCTGCAGGTGAAATTTACAGGCCACGAGAGGATAACCAACAGCAACAGAGAGATAAAAAATTGGTTTTTGATTACCTTCCAGAAGTCATCCATTGTGGACAAAGTTTTGAAATCAGTTTTCTCCATTTTTGATACAGGTGTTTCCAGGAAGAGCTGTGACATAACCCTTGTGTAATAGTACATACTGGAACTCACTGTCCCGTAAGTCACTGCAAAAGATTTGGTAAGGAGTGAAAGGTAAAGGGGTAGGGGAAAGAGAAAAGAAAAAAGAAGGGGGGGAGGGGGGGGGGAAGAATACTTTGCTTGTTTTGTTTTGAATACATCAGGTTGTATTTGTATAGATTTTGCACTGAAAAGTTTAAACTTCAGAACAAAATCCACACCAAGCATCATTTGTCTGTGAACTGTGATTAAAATACAAAAAAACAGTGAAGAACAGACTGCTCAATCAGTTTGAAATACTTAGTTCTCCTTCCCACACCTCATTCTATTATTAATGTTTCTACAAAAGCTAACTTCAACAAAAACAAAGGCAAGATTCAGCGACCTGAAGAGAGACAGGTAGTGCCTTTTTAGGTGACTTGTACTATCCAAGGCATCCATAGAGAGCACAAGACCTCAGGAGAACTATGCCCTGCTTGAGAAGATAATGATGGTCAACCATAATATCTCAGGGCACTGTGAATGACATCAGCCACCTATGATTAGGCAAAACTCCACCCAAGACGTGAAATGCTTCTAAGAGAATCTCCCCACCAAAAATAAATGATTGTGTGTTACTTCTTTTTCTTACACTGGGCCAAGCATTTGGCTAAGGACCACAGAGCATGATTATAAAATGACATAAAAAGCCAAGATGGCTTGAGAGAACAGTCTCTGGGCACTGATAATCCTATTGCCTGTAAATACTTAAAACCATTTTATGGCTAAAACTCAGAGAAGCCTGAAAGATTAAGTCTACACTGAACAACCTCAACCAGTTTTGACAATTTTATAAAAATAATTTATCACAGGGAAGAAAATGTGTTTTCTTTAGCAATTGGAGAACTATTTTAATAGTCTTATGCTGTGACACATGGAATGTATAACATGACTGTGCAATATCTGGATTCTCTCTAAATACACTCTCAAAAAGACAAGAGTATCAGAAACGACCATAGCACTTAGCCTGCAATGGAAAGCTCTGTCCTAGGGCATGCCAAGCCATAGACCAGTCTGTCTCATAGTTATTGCTTACATGTAAAATCAAAAAGGATAGTTCTTAAAAAAATACTAATGAGTTAGCAATATCTAGATATTTAAAACACTACAGTTTTCCTTTATTTGGTTACTAAAAATCTTTTCCTACAGCAAAAC